AAGTAGGGATTACAATCAGGTCTATTTTACAAGTTCCAAAAACACAAAGTTCTTATATTATATCATCTTGATACTAAAAAACACATGTAAATTGGAGTTCAGAAAAATTGGAAGCTATGATTTAAAAAAATAAAAAATAATAATAGAACGGTAAACAATATAAACTGCAAGATCGCAACTATTCTTTTAGCTCCTCGGTTTTTCCTTTCCTCTACTTTTTATCTAACTAAGTTTCCTATTTCAACTTAGTGCTAAGTTTCATGTTATTTATGGCCTAATGCAAATCATCCAAAATGATTTGTTTTAGATCTGAAATAGCTCTTGTTATGAGCAAAACTATAAATTGAAAAGTATAAAATGAATATTTTGTTATCTCAAAGATAAGTTAGATTTGATAATTTTTTGATAACAATTGTTCAATAATTTTGGATATTGATTGTCTAAACACCTGTTTACACTTGGAGTTGGTGCATGAGTGAAAAAATTATATTTTTCAAGTAACTTAGTATACTGGAGTTTGTAACCACAGCTGAAGTAAAAAAAAAAAAAATTCAATTTAATTGGCTATGCTTGCCACAAAGATGAAACTAAAGCATAAGATTGTGAATCTTATCACTGTAGTTATAATTATTTTTATCTAGTTTTCAATTAAGATAATCAATCAAATATTTAATATTGATGTCAGAATATTGTTTTAGAATAGAATTTTATATGATAAAACGATTGAACAAATGAAAATTGATGATAATATCAATCTTCATTATGCTCGTTTAAAAGTGAACGTTTTCCAAAAGAAATTGATGACATCATGCCACGTTGCAAGTTTTGCAGAGGGATACGAATAAAAATAGATCCACGATAATGTTTCCTTCATATATAGTTTTACTCTATCGTATTTCGATTAAAATTAGCTTTAATTATACTATATTACAGAGGAATCTCTAAGATGTTTAATATTAGTGTATCTCGCAAATAAATTGTTAAGGTCTTAGAAATTAGAAACCTCAAGACATGAATTAAGGTTGAAATTGTATAGAGTTGATTCGCATGGTGATAAATTACAATCATTTTGATCATGATTAGCTTAACCAATTAGCTAGCACTACATAGATGAGTTTACAAATATCTCCCAATTTAAGATTACTCTGAAGTAAACTTTTTTTTCCACCAGTGAAGCATCACTGATTCAAATCGCATCAATCTGAATGCATATTTTTGTCTCGTTGTGTTCAAGAAATCCTTAGTATTTTGTCTTATATATATGTTATTTATAAAATTTATTAGAATGAAATATATTTTTTAAATATTTACATATTTATTTAGATAATTTTAATGTACATAATAAATTTTCTTGAAGCGAAACAAGGTAGATATAAATATATTTTATATCTGTAAAAACAAATAATCTGTCTATTTCCTTTATTTTAGTTTTCATACACTTCAATTCTACTAGTTTCAACCTAAAAATGAAAATGTGATGAAAACAGTGGAGGAAAACATTTCACATCAAACTATAAAAAATTGGTGAACACCAAGCACTAAATCGTTATCGAAACAAAAGATATTCATGCAAAAGTACTGATTTTGCATAAAAGATATTGTCCTTTTCATTTGAGTGACTTTTTTGCAGATCCACAAAATATATCTGCAAAAATCTCTAAGATCTTACTCTCAAAGATCTTACTATGATTTTGGACACCACACGTCAAACTATTGTAAATTTGTAATTTTGACACTTATATCTTCATAACTTTCATCACTGGTTTCTCGCAACATGTTTACATTTTTGAACGAGGTCACAAAATTTGAAATGATTGACACTAAATATTGATACTGTTTTTAAGCATGAATTTTTAATTCAATCTACAATCTTGCCTACCAAAATTAAATCATGATTTTTTTACACCTAAGATTGCTTTAAGCCTACGCTCGTGTTGTGAATTACCACACCACTTTCTCTCCAACAAATTCGGAGGCAAACAGAAAATAATCGGAATCGTCACAATCTCGTTACATGTCATGGTTAAAAGTAAGAAAAAACGGATATTCAGAACTCAGACGTGCAAAATTGTGTGAGACTCTTGTTCAACCTCGAAACAGATACGAATAATCGCGCTGTTGTTGCTAATGATCGGCTTCACTTCAGGCCAGACTCCGTTGCTTGTATTCCTCGTGTGAAATAGAGATTCCTCTGTAATATAGTATAATTAAAGCTAATTGTAATCAAAATACGATTCTGTAAAATTATATATAAAGAAAACATCGTGGATCTTATCGTGGATCTATTTCTATTTGTATTTCCTCTGTAAGGGCGAGTGAAACTTACCCCGGAAGCGACAAATTCCTCGTCACTGGTGTAGAGTTACATATTCACAATATATGTACATCCTGTAATTCTCTGACCAGCCACGTGTCGAGCCTTTAGCAAGCTGTTCTTTCGCAGTGGCTTCTAATTATCGAATAATTGGAACGCCCCCTCGTCGGAGAAGGACCACAGGAATAAAGTAGGCTTCCGCTGCAACCTCCTCCGCTACGATTTCCCAAAAAGTCGAAGGATTGTATCCTCAACAAACTGTCAGTTTGCGTTTTCCACGCTGTGAATGAGACGTTGCAGACCAGCCTTCAATTCCGACACAGTAAATGGTCTTAATGGGCTGACGATCGACAGTATGCAACGAAATGGTTTTCCATGAGGAAGCGGACAAAGAATGTCAGTGGTTCTCCGATCTGGTAACTGGGGGGTCCCTCTCAGTGAGAAAATAGACGAATTAATCAAATCTGTCGTCTGTCTGAATCTGTTTTCCTGCAACGAGTAACCACTCGTTGCAGGAAAATGGAGGAATTATCTCCGCACCTTTATCTATTTCGGAATGAACAATGCTCCACAATGGAGTTTTCCACTTGGGCTGTCATGTGTATTCACTTCAACATACCGATACATCTCCAATGGAATTGCTCCGTTGGACTTTAAGTTAGTGACATGTAAGCCTAGTACATGTATTCTGAAACATCGTTCAGTTCAAACAGAAACGACAAATCATCATTCGCATATCTTCCTAAGGCTTTAATCTGATTGAGCAAGATATTTGAGATGCAGATCATGTTGATGATGGAACTTCAGATCCGCCCACCTTCGAATCAAAGTGGACGCTGGTTGATGCTGACCGAATTCTCTTAGATTCTCGCTCAGCCTAAATCTTACTCGCTAGGGCTCAACATTTGTTCATCTGGACATGTCTGCGCTTTGTTCCTTCACTAATCATATGAAATCCGTCATCGGGATTTCCTCGACTTCACAGCCTCCAAATGGGATGATAAAGGTCTCCTTGTCAGCGTTATGATGTTACCGCGTACAAGATCTGACATAGATCAATCAAATTCTAATCCTTACAGTACTTTCGTTGGGCGACCTGTCCCGAACGAATAAATGCACAAGGCCATTCTGTTACCTTTCAGGTTCCTTTGCAGTCGAGACATTTTTGAATATTCCACATCATTATCTAACATGTCATGATTCTGATGTTATTGAGCACCGTCTCAATTTGATTGAGAATATTGTGTCCCTTGGAGGCCAAAACTGATGCGAATTCCGAGTTTATGATTAATTTTAAGCTGAAGTATTCTTTAATCTTTGCTATTCTACTTTGTTCGTACTCGAATGACATGATCTTCATATATCGACATATAGAATTTACGTCAATCCTAAGCTTTTCAACTGCAGCTAGCTCATCTTTCAAGCCACTGCCAAACTTGCTTGTCGATTTTCAAAAGACGTCAGAATGATAACAAAAGTTGACAAAATTGTGCAATACAGTCAAAGTTACACCTCAAAAACCAAATCAGATCAATGAAGCAGAAGTTATCAAGCACTCACAAGACTTTTATCAAGGATACCTCTCAATTTGATACAAAGATAAGACTACATGAGAGTTCTCATGGCTATAGCTTGTTCAGTATTAGTGGGAGGGAGGAAGAGGACGTTCACAAGCAAGAAGAGAAATGGCGAAGGAAACAAAACTTCGAATCTGTTATATGAGGCACCTTGACAGCCAAATCACCCATATTTGTATCTAAGTTAAATACTTGCTTAGATAAAAAATAAAAGCAGCATAATTGCCATGGCAAGTGAGATCTTTAAATCAAAGACACGATAATTACAACTCTGAGGTCATCTCAATTCTTGCATACAAGATCAATGGAGTGAAACTAAATGTCACCGATTCAGAGTTACAAAACACGATTCAAAGTGGACCGCGAAATCATTATTATGATTAAGATCGTTGTTGCAGGTGGCGTCGAGCTCTTTTCTTTCCAGGTATGGGTGTTACTTCAGCAGCTGGTAGTAGACCACAACATCCTTGCCACCAGCACCCCCAGGGCCTCAGACTCGGTGTCAATACATTGGAACCAATCAATTTGTAGCGGAAATCTATAATGAGTTAAATGAACTCGAAGCGACTGCAATTTCAGGTCGATCTCGTAATGAATTTGTTATCGATGCTGACATTGGTGAATCATCTTTCCCATAACTATCTGCGCAGTATGTGTTAACACTCAGCGTACTCTGAACTTTTGCTCTATGATTTTCAGGACCCCTTATGCAAAAATGAGTCACAGCCCGTTGGTACCAGTCGCCAAAGCCAAGTCAGTCAAGTCGTACGACATCATATCTGCTTAATAATGCAAGATACATTAATGGTGTACCAGATATTACTCGAAGGATTCCACAGTTAGGACTTGATAGGGACTTGCTGTATCGGTTCACCTTACAATGATCGACTGCATTTCGACCTCCGTTCGTATTCGCAAGTACAAAACGGAGTATGTAGTGCAGTCTATCATCACAATGTGATGCTTAACTTCTTCACAGGTAGGCTACTGACGGGCAAAATTGAACGCCAACTGATTCGGCCTCGTGCTGTTCTATGGTCAGCGTGGCCACCATTCCTTGAAGTACATGGAGTCTTTGGGCACCGTGTTAAAGCACAGGTACAATACTTTTTGCATGAAGGGAGAGACGACATGAATTCCAGGGCGCTGACTGAATGAAAGATAAGGCTGCACACTCCTAACTCCTCATAGAGTAGTAGAGGCATAGAGTGTCGACTAGTTCGTAGATTGTTTCACAAAATTCTGTATCGAATAGTCAGTTCGAATTTACAAAAGTTTCGCCGATGATGGTCAGACTGCTATGAGAAATGCTTCAGAAAGAAGGTGACCACTAATCGCTGTAAATTGTTCATATTTCTAAAATACATGTACAAAAGAATATATCTACTGCTGTGAGGCCATCATCTTATCTTATCATGGCCTCAGATTATAATTTTATTCGTCCCGAGCGTCGTGGTTCACCGGAAAATTTTTAAGGATTTCATTGCAGGCTGGAAGGAAAGGATCAAGCTACGATAACGAAATTTTACCGAGTTTGAAACCTCACACTATAACTCAAATAATTTCGCCCATGAATGATCATAGAACAGTTGCAACTGCTCTCAGGACCGACACTTCTACTGTCAAACCAGGTCCAAATCCTACAACAAGCCCCCACTCACATCCTTCTCCGGTGGTGCTGCGTTTCTTCTCGGCCGACCGCCTGCGCATTTGATCTATTACGAACAGCACAGTAGCACCTGACATGTTCCCGTAGCTGTACAGAATTTCTCTTGTGGCTTCCATCTTCTCTGGTTTCAAGCTCAGAGTTTTCGCCAATTCATCCAGAATGGCTCGACCTCCTGGGTGCACACACCAGAAAAGATCGTTCCACCTTGGGGATCCTGCCACCTCGATCGCCTTGTTGAAGATAGGGAGGATATTACTTGAAATCAGACCGGGAATATCCTTCCGCAGGTTGAACATCAGTCCCGCTTCAGTCAGCCTTCCCTCAATCGCACCATCACTTTCGGGCAGAATCGTTTCTCCAGACCAGTGGATTTCGAACAATGGATTCTCTACCTCCGGAACGGGATCCGATCCGATGACAAGGACTGAGGCTCCATCACCGAAAATTGCCGAGCCCACCAGATTGTCCACATCCTCAGGGGCACGGAAATTTATACTCGTGAGCTCACACACGACAGTGAGAACTCGAGCGCCTTTGTTGTTCTCGGCGAGATCTTTAGCCACTCGCAGAACGGTGGCTCCTCCGAAGCACCCTTGTTGGTACAGCATGGTTCTGTTTACGTTGGGGCTCAAGCCCAGCAGCCTGGTGAGAGTGAGATCGGCTCCGGGCATGTTCACTCCGCTCGTGGTTGCGAACACCACGTGGGTGATCCGATCTCTGGGTTGGCCCCATTCTGCCAACGCCTCCACAGCCGCCTTCTCTGCCAGTCTGGGCACCTCCCTGATTGCTATGTCCTGGCGAACATCAAGTGAGGGATCCTTGTACGAGCACATTGAAGGATTGGCCTTCAAAATCTCCTCTGTGCAATGGAAATACCTTTTATTGATTCCTGAATTCTTACCTGAACAGAAAGAATGAAGAAACAAAGTTCTTAAGTATAACTACTAAGGACTGTATTTCATACCTTGACGTACAAAGTACCAAAGGATTAGATAACTTACTACCACAAGTAGGAAATTCTGCAGGGCATACATGAGATGTAATGACTGAAAGAACTCATCTGTTCTGGCTGAAGCACGCTCTAATACAATCTGGCTTTTCTGGAAAAAGAATACATCCTATCCAAAATAGTCCTCCTTAAAGAAGGGAAAGGTGAAACTTACAAATTCGGATGAAACTGGCCTTGAGGTCATTCTTGTGACTGTTGTTGGTGATATCAAAGATGAAATCCGGGAATTCGCTCTGAAGATATGCAGCTGGAGGTGTGGCCTTGCCGATGGCAAGGACTGTCGCTGGTCCAACGGCCCGCTCGTGTCTGTATGCCTCATTTCTATTATTGACCATGGCTCAGACTGAGCCCTGGCTTCTACCCGTTGTCTGATTGTATCCGGAGTAATAACTGTTTGAAGACTCCCGCTCGTTCAGGTATTAGTAGAAGAGCGCAGTGCTTCTCTGGTGAATGTCTGAAGAACATCAGTAGATGCTCAGTGCAGTTCTCTGAGTTCGGAATTGCGAAGTATCTACGCTGGTGACTGGCAACACCAGTGAGAAACTCATTATTCGCAAGGCATTTGCACGTCTTCCCATGTTTGTCAACATGTCGTGTGTTCGAGCCGTCAATCCTGTTCCCAACAGTGCGGAATTGGAGTCAACCTAGGAAAGGATAGTTTTCATCTCATCTCAGACTTTGCAGCAACTTCGGACACTTCGGACGCCGGCCGAAACCTGTTAATTGACGCGGTCAGATCGCGTTCTTACCAACAGAATCTTCTCTGTGAGGGAGTTTTCTCTATCATGATCTCTTAAACCGTGAGACCTTCATCATGATGAGCTCTTTTTTGAACTCTCTATACATGATGTCCACGACGTTATCCCATGTCCTTCATTGTCTTCACGTACAGTACTTACCTTCCCTGGCACATGTACTATCCTGTTTGCCCAGTGGAATGTTGCAACGATGACAAGTGCGCTGCCATATCGTCAGAGGCAGTTCCTCAAGCAACGCATGGAGCAACAGCTACTCCACTTATTTTGTTACCACGTGAGTCAGATTGTTCGCCTCTGAGTGGTGGAACTATAACGGTCAAAACTGCAATGCCAGATTTTCCCACTTAGTCTTACGAAGATTCGGTTAGGTTCCTTGCACTTCTACCTGAAATTGAGATTGTGACTATATTCGGCAGTGCAGACGAAAGAGTAAGAATAAGATTCTTCCATTTTTAAATCTCTTTTGATGGGTTTCGTCGGGAGAACCAACTTCAAGTCAATTAGGGTGAGTCATCTCTTTTGGTATTTTTGTATAGAATCACCAACAAGTAAACCAAATAAAATTGGGAAAAAATTTTTGGAATGAAGACTTTAGTTTAAGACAAAACTCACTAAATTAAAGAGCATTAGTGTATGCATTTTGGACTATGAATAGACAGTAACTGAATTGAAGATTATATCTAAGAAAAAACTCACTTAATCAAAGGGCATTAGTGTATGCAGTTTAGACTTTAGATAGGCAGTAATTGAAATGAAGATTTTACAATGAAGAAAATATCAATATATTTAAGAGCGTTTATGTAATAATTGAGCACAAGCATTTCACATTGAAATAACTATTTCCTATAAAAATTTTAATTTCCAAATTTTCATTAAATTAAAGCTATTCAGAAACTAATCAACAATTACAATTCAGAAAATTCAGAAATAAATCAACAATTCAAAGATGACGATTATAATTATGAACTGTCATCATCTCAAATTTATAATGATCTTGATTGACGTAATTTATTATAAATAAAAAGGTAGATTCAATTGAAAGCCAAATATCATTTAAGATTAATATTTATTATGCTATTGCAAAACATTCATCATTTCTTCAAAAAAGTTGTACAAATTTTTAATTTAATATCTAATTTCTTGAATTTATTTTTTTTAAATAATCTAAAGATGAAAATAACTGACTTCATTTAGTATTAAAATATACAATTAATAATTTTTTCTAATGTAACATGCTAATTCTTTAAAAAAAGAAAGAATCAAGCGTTTGAATTTGATATCCAAAAAAAATCAATTTCAAAATATAATTATCAAACTCGTGAGACAATAGATCAATAACTAGATTTCATGATTGTTCATACAAATTTGTACGAACATGCAATTGAGATCTGGCCATCATCATTTAAAATTATTGTGATGTGGCGTTTAAATTTAACACAAGTATTCTTTATATGATATTCATGAATTGTTAACATATTAATCTAAATTAACATCTTGACATATCTAAATTTTAAACACACACATGGCTGAAATGACAAATATTCATATCCTCTCCCTCCATCTTCAATGTTCAGTAGTTGCAACTAATTATAATTGAATAAACTGGGATAGAAGGTTCAAGTTATAAATCAAATATTTCAATCCTAAATTGAGATGGGAAAAAAATAAAAATTGAACAAAAGAGAGATTATTTTGAGTAATAACGTATTATCTAAATTGAAGAACTACACAACCATGGTATCATTATTCTGTCGTTCATAGAATAAGTAGGAAAAAACATGATTTTAATTTATCTAATTTCATGCATTCATTATAAAGATGTGAAAATGTATACGATTTGAGTTGATAAATTATTTTACAATAAAACATTACAAGATAATTATAAAAAAAAATAAGGACATAAAGCATATGAAGTAGCTATTTTGTCACATTTGATAGCAAAAATCAATATAATTATAGATAACTTATAAATATAATTTTCTTGATTCATTAACGTTGTGATAAATTAATCATATAATCATAAATCAATTTTAGTTTTTTAAAATTCAAAAAACACATTTAAATCAAACAAATCTAATTTTGATGAAGTTTGCAATTGATTTAAAATTCAAAATTAAATTTCGTAAGGAGGAACTTTTCAAAAAATTGAAAAATATAATCATTAAAATTAATTTTTTAGTTTGACATTTATTATCTATTGAAAAATCTATTGTAAAGTATGGCTTAAAATTTTTTCCTAAGATGGATGTTCAAATGCACAAATGTTTTGCATTAATAAAACACCTACGTTTTGTGATTCAATGACTCGTACAAAATTTGAATACGTTTAAAAATTTAGATAAGAAATTTTTTTAAGATATTGAGTATTTCTTTCTAGACTGATTGATGTAGACTGATGAAAAAATCAAATGAATGTTTCTAAAATTTATAAAATGATTGAAAAAGGTGAATGCTAAAGTATGATGAGATTAAAATAAAGTGATAGAAATAAAACCTGAGTTATGATGTAAAGAGATTGGTAAGTCAAACTTTAGGCATTGTAAATATTTAAATTAGAAGTATGCAAGATCAATTTTCAAAATGATATTGAGTCATTTTGAATCTTCACAAAACCAAGATTAATGTTTATTCATGAATTCGTTTAGTAAAACTGTTGACAAAAAGAGGGTTCAAAAATACATGTATAATATTTAATAAATTCATTAATAAAATATTAAGTTTAAAATTAAGTTTATTATTTAAAAATTAAAAAACATTTATTTTAGAAATACAGGAGAATTTGTAAAGTCATTTAACTGAATTTTTTATTATTACTATTCTAGCTATAATCTGCTCAAATTATATCACAATGATGAATAATTTTTGATAGACTTAATTCAACAGAAAGTCTTCAAAATTCTTTTAAAATGTTATTATATGTGATGAATTATTTGATTTGAAAATTAATTTTTATGCATGATAGATGAGTGTGTTGTTTTATCAACTTATAATTTTTTAATTTTTATCAATAAATCTAGAAAAAAAATTGAGTAGATTATTAAATTTTAAATCTATGAGGTTATTGGAAATTTGATGATTTTTCTCATCAAAAATTATAAGATTTCACTACAAAAGAATCTAATGCATATATTTTACATTGTTACAAAAAATTTCTTGATGTAAGATATTTAATTTTAATTATTTATGAGCAGAAAATATTTTTGCATGTATATAAAAACTGAATGAAAATTTCTTTATTTCTATATCATAAAATTTCTTGTTAAATTATTGAAATGTATTATGAAATGGATTGCAAAATAATTAGACTAAGTTCATTAGTTATGATGCATAAAAAAATGTCATTTATGAAATATATTGATGATTTTTTTTTTTGTAAAATGAAAAAATAGATTACAAAGTGCAAACACATAACTATATTGCATAAATCTTGCAAAATTATGTATATGAACCACAAAAAGTGATATTTGAAAAACTATATTGAATTTATACATCTATATTTAATACGTATGTTGATATAATTTTAAATAGTATAACTTATGTTTTTATATTTAGTACATTTAGTAATCATGAACATCACTTTTATGATATAATGATAGATTTTTTGATTTTTTTGATTTTTTTAAGCCAACTAGAGATAATCATGTCATTATTCAATTTCTAACAATTTTTTCCTTGACTAATTTTTGGACATTGTAGATATTATTATCTACATGATCAATCTACAAAAAAAACTTAAATTATTATACTATATGTTATTATTTTTGTGAATTAGAGTTGACAATAATCAAATTGTAGTGAAATAAAAAAAGATTAATAATTTTTTTAAAAAAATATAGGGATAACAAAATTGATAGTATTCTTTTGACTCTGAACTTTATGGCAAGATGGTTTTTAAAAAAATACTTCTTAAAAAAAATTTATCTTAAAAAAACCCAGGATAAAGATGAATTAGATTAGTTTGATCATATTTTACAATTTGCTTGAAATTAATAATATGTGATGTCAATTTGTTTTAATTTGATATCCATCACATAGTTCAAAGTTAAATGTTAGAAATTTTGACGTTCAAAGTGAAGATTCACAATGTCATTCATTAATGTCAAATTAATAAGAAGCTTATAGATTATAAGAAGCTTATAAGATTCACTAACTAATCGTGAAAAGAATCAACAACGGCAAAAAGTTATGACTTCTCAAATCCATAACGGCCATCGCATCGTTTGATAACTCTTTCGAGTAGATGCTTTGATTACCTTGTTGATGTGTGTAACGACACTAAGTTGGAGTAATTGATCTATAAACAAAAATTCATGTGGTTGATCATTATATTGAAGTTGATGCAATCTTTGGACCAGACTGGTAGCGTGGTCCAAGAAATCTACAAACGCATCAAATGGGAGATTGGTGGCGTGATCCATGACACATTGGCCGGGAGTGCATTAACGGAAATAACCATTTTCAACGAGGGTTGTTTGGTGGGATGTAGGAGATCAAAGCAGCAGTGAACGGCTTCGATCCCTAAGAGAGAAGATGTGGCGTTGCTTACAATCTCGGATCACGCTTCGCTTTGGCGAGAGTCATCCGTGTAGATTTTAAGATTCTAGTTATAATGAAAAAGTAAGACTATTAATAGGATAGAGATTATTTTTTTGCTGAGTGTTCTATTGTCAAATTGTAAACATAGAGAATGTGTGTAACAACAGATAAATACCAAAATGGAGCATAATGGTATAGATTCGATCCAGTGAGAACAAAAACAACATCAGAGAATCAAATGCTATTTCAAATAATATTCTATTGAAGATTTTTACTTCTTAAGCACATGTCACTCCCAAAATCATCTACAAGTAATAATCCAAAGATTATACAAATGCAGCATGTAGACATATCATAATCCTGAAATAAATCCAATAAACACTAGAGAAACAACAAACGAATCTACACTTTGAAATTCAGGGGGTAACTTCTCAAGAATAGAATTTCAGCCTACTACATCAAGCAGCCATTCTAAAGATTTGCTAAGTCCTGAGCTACACTATGCACCACTGAGAAC